GCCAAAGAGAACTGGTCCCGGTTCAAGCATGCTCCTCGTAAAGCGTCTACTAACCTGGTCCCGTTCCCTCTGTGCCTAACTCACGAACTGGATTGGTGTCAAAAACACACGCGACTTCCCCCTAACTCCTGTCATCTATTTAGATTATAATATACGCTACTGTGCCCAGGGCTATGTCTCGATATACATTCTTCATTCGTGTCACTTCTAATGTAGTTACAGTCCAATTGTCCCACACATTTAGCTATCTCAGGTCAAAGAGTATCAGGTAATCGGTATTGAATCAGCCCTGACAAATTGACAGGCATAAAGAACTCGCGTTTAGACCTGTTCCTGCAATTCCAGCTCAGTTTGGGTGGTCCAAGAATTCAACAACCGCGAGGTCACAGGTATTATCATAAAACTGCAGTAAACACGGATGACTAATCTCGCCGAGAGGACTATGTCTGAGGAACGGGACCTGCGAGAGAAAGTATACACAGGAACGCGTTGCAAAACAACGCGAATGCCTCTAGATCACATTGTGGTTATAAGGAACGGCGCAGAGCGAAATAGCCGGTGTCTTCTTCATCGTCGGCTTCGTCCTCGAGACGGCGAGAGGTAGGAGGAACCGGATAAAGAGCAAAGAGCAGACTGGAAAACGGGCACGTCCACGCAAATACGCCGCGAACAACGGATGTGTACAAATTCGCGGTACAAGGAACGTCCATTCGCTGGCCGACCAAAGACAAAAGGTCTCGACGATGGGCCGAAGGCCACCGAATAGGTATGTTTTCATTTCGATGCAAATGGAAACGTCGAGTGGGGGTGGGGGGCAAAAGAGAAGAAGGAAACGATCGACCTCTCGATACTTTCAAGTTCCCAGAGGGTTGATGAGAGAGCAAAGGAGAAAATCCGGGGGTGGCGGATGGCCGATCGGGACAGTCGCTGATAATTGCGATTACTGACGATGTAATAATTCTCCTGGTAATGTACACGTTCGTTATGAACAGTAGACTTATGGATTAGTCCGTATATTCGCATGTTCGGGAATTTAGAGTGGATATTAATTTATGCCGATGCACGAGGTGGAAAATTTACACTTCGGTTAGAATACGTGACTGTTCCATCGGTGTAATTACGGTAGAATTTTTATTAGAGGATCGAGTATTATTTGGAACTGTCTTATTTAGAGTTAGGTATTATTTAGTTACATTATGCGAATTTTCCATTTTTTGAATTATCTGCTATTCGAGTGTTGCATTGTTCAGATGTTCTACTATTCAAATTCTTTAATATGACATTTTTTTTTTTATTATTCAAATTTTGCATCATTTAAATGCTCTACTGTTTAAATTCTTTGCTCTGTAGAATTCTATTATTTGAATTTTTCATTGTTCGCGTATTTCATTACTCGAATTTTTCACTATACAGCTGTACCGGTATCTGAATTTTCCATTATCGAAAATTTGTATATAAAATTCATACTACTCCAAATAAGAGACACCTTAGAAGCTATGAAATGACGAAAATTAGGACAGACAAGAAAAAGCGTTCTTATTCCAAAGAATTTATAATAACAGAAAATTAGCGGACAACGTGATACAAAATTTATACCATTTAATAGTACATAAAACATATATAAAGATCACTCATGAAAAATTTTAAATAAACATGACAATTCTAATCTAGCCTAAAAAAATGTCCAAAACCGAATCTCCAACCTGAATTACCCAAAAACGTCCCAATTCCCTATTTAAAATTAAGTTTACAATTTAAAACAACCCTTCGTAACAGCAAGTATAATAAAATCGTTATTCCTCTCCAAAAGTTCCCCTAACTTTATCATCCATCTCAATAAAACACTCCCACCCCGACATACCTAATCCAACACAAAAAAAGAACTTCTTTTACACTTTTCGTATTAGGTGTTTGTTGTTGCTCTCTTAATTTATGGATGCTTATTATGACGTGAACGTTTCTCGCTTTACATATCTCTTACCAGCATTGAAGGTTGTAAAAAGGAGCTGAAAAAACGGAACGTTTAGACGTCACTCGGCTGAATCGTTCAGACACGGAGATCTAATTATTTCGAGCAGCGTATAATGAGCAGTCGTTTGAACGTTTCATCGGCACTGGTCCAGCAGACACTCGACTGGGCCTCTGTAAACGACGCCCCGGCCTCCGTGGCGATTTATTGCACCTAGCGCGATACATATTCATCGCGTGTGCTCGAACGTCAACTGTTCCGGCTGGTTCGGGAAACGCGACGCCGGTGGCTGGGCTCTGAGAACGAACTTTGACGCGGGACAGGCAGCCAAGGTCGTAAAAATCAAACACCGCCACGCCACCCCGCGGAGATCGGCGAAAAAAGAAGGTCGTCAAACTTGACGACATTAGCGCTCGCGCTAGGCGACTACCAATAAAGGACAACCAGCGCGTGTTCTCGCTTGTTCCTGCTTTCGTTCGATCGATCTCGTTCCACGTTTCATACGAGGAACGATTGCACGAGCGAGGATTCAGGAATGTGGGTGCACGCCGTGCACGCGGAAACGAGTAAAAATGGGAACGTGGGGCCATACGTATGATAACGCGTAATGAAAAACGCACAGCGAAGGCGAAACGAAATAGCAAACGTTCCGAGAGCCGTCCGCTGTTCAAAATCTCGAATAACAGACGGTAATGCAGGCTAGAAGAGATTCTAGTGATTTTGGGGAGAGCGCGGTGAATAGTTATATTTATTACGCTTGGCAACAATGTGGAAACAGTGCAACGGCTCGCGAGAGTTATAAAAGTGAACCCGAAAATGCGTAGTGGGATTTTCTTGGTTATGTAATAATGAAGAATTCGTAAAGAAATTTAAGAATTGATGTAATAAATAAATTCTTGATTAAAAAATTTGTTCCTACGTCACTGTAAATATTGCCTTGCAGCAGCGTATATTTATAGGGATTAATAATCACTACCCACTAGTATTCTCGGATTTGTCAATGAAAAACAATTATTGATGTACCCCCTTTATCCTTTGTTCACCCTGTGACCTAGAAATGGGCGTTGGGATATTACGTAACCCGACACACTTGCTAGTAGCAACAGTATACTTGAATTCGATCGTTGTATAGGAAGGTTCGACAATTTTCAAGATGGACACTTACGGACGAAAAATGCACGAAATAGTTCGAAAGCTTGTACGCTTATACGATGGAAAAGGCAAATAAATGCTAATACAAAAGAAACATTCTTCGCCCGGAAAGGAGGAAAAAATGTTCTTCGTCTGTCAACTTTGTTTACCGAAAGATAAACGCAGAGAGACTATCATGAAATACAGCGCATATGATATTCTTGGGATAGTACATGGGACACGGGGTTTTCATACGACCGAACGATGACAGACTCCCACTACACTTGTTGTTATGCAACGAAGCGTGTGGACCCGGCTGAGTGCCGGCTAGCGAAATGAGCGAAATAGCGTTCTCGTGGCGCAGAGCGCACGTGCATCTGGAAGGTTCACTGTACCAGACACTTTTGTACACAAAACCGCACATAACCTCCCTTCCCGGTCGAGTCATTCGTTTAATTTTATCTTTATTTTCCATTACTTAACCGAGAGACACGAAACTCACTTTGTGTGTACAAAAGACCTTATGTTTGGCAGGAAGAAGAGAGATAAAAAATCGTACTCACCACAAACATTGAGCCAGCCCTCGACGCGGCAAGGATACTCCAATTTCATCTTAGAGCGTTGCAGCCAAACACCAAGTACTAAATATGTATCACTCAAGTACACTGGTCACATAAGAAAACGAATAGAACAGCCCGTAGTCAGGACTTGTTATCACTGTTAAACAATATCCGCGACACACATTCTCCCGTACATTGACGCGACGCGACACGAGACGAACCGACGTGTTTTTGAATCCGACACGGGAACGCGCGCAGATGGAACGATACACGAAATCACGGAGAAAGTAAACGCAGAAATGTCGAAGTGTCGTTCTTCCGAACGCGAGCGTACACACTGTCTAGCGTTGCGCGCGCAAACTCTCGACACGATCCACGCACACCGGCGAACAAATCCGAACTAACTGAACAAACCCTCTCACGTCCTCGTTGAGCCGATCTTCTTTCTCCTTCTCTCTCGCGCGGCTTCGTCGCCAGCCCCTCTCGCTTTCAGGTGGTGCGCTCATCTCGCATAATCTTTGTACATAATTGATCGAACTATTTTGCTGACCGAAATTATAAATTTTTCTGATACGATAGATTCGTCGTGCACCTATAAAAGACACGAATATACTGAATATAGGTTTTGAAATGCTATTCGATAATTAAAATACGATTCGATATTCCATGATTCGATATATCGAACACACGAATCATAAAACCGCCATATTGACTACTTGAAAAATTGTCAAATTACGACGTCAATAAAATTATATTTCGTATATATTAATTGTATAATTTAAGAACCATACTGATAATTGAAATTATATAAATAAAGCAATAAGAATTAATGAATTATAATAACGTCGAAAAAACAATTTCATATGTAATCTGTCTAATACTTGATCACGACTGATTGAATGAATTTATGACATTATTTCCCAATTTTGTTTTTTCCATACATTACATATATTTCATAGAATAATATGTTTCCATATTATTCTTATGTTTTGACAAAATATTTTTTAAGACGATATCTATTGTAATATTCTACCTTGCCTACTGCCAAAATATTTATTGTCGTGTCTTCATTAAATCGTATTACATCGGTTTTTTTTTATAGAATTTACAAACACAAGTAACAAATTGATTTCATAGAAATAACTAATTTAATAAATATTATAAGTAGGAAGAATAATTTATTTAATACTTACATTAGCAATCACTGTTTCGATGTCATCGATTTGAATGGAAGGAACGTTACTGTAGATAATCAGGAACTATGAGATCACATTAAAATTATCTGCTCTTCCGTTCGAAACGCCACCTGGTAACCAAATGTATAGTCAGTTACTGGCAAAATGGCGCTCAAGGCACAAGTCGGTCAAAGTGAGTAACAAAAAATAATATAATTTTCTATAATGTACGTAATAATTTGAAATTCGTTTCTACTATACTATTGGAACAATTTTATAGATTTATTTTGTATGAAAATCATATCACCTGTACCACTGTCAGAGTCCGTAACCTCCAAAGGGGCGTATATGCTGTGATGATTTCATCGTTTACGTAGCGGCTGCTAGCTAGAAATGTCAAATCTATATTTTAGAATCGCGTTACTTTTAAATTTTATATAAAAAATTATGTATTTTATGGCTTGAAAATATAGGTTATCACATGCATGCTTATCAAACTTTTAATCTATTGATTGTAGAAGTTTATTTTATTGATGTTCTATCTTGATAAATATTTTGTCCTAATCGTGTAATTTAATTAACAATTTTTATTTTTAGTAGAAATAAAAGATTGTTGTTTCATTTGTACATACTTGATCTTAAAATATATTTCATTTGCAAACATTTTTACCTGAATCTTTATTATTATTACACGTAACTATGTAATAAATTACAATTAAAGTAAATTTCAACACAAATAGTTAACATCATTTTTAAACATAATACACAGAATTTATTAGCACGTGTTTTTTCGTGGTACTCATTGATTTTTAAAAGAACTTTAAACAAGAAAGTAGATAAACACAGTGCGTCTTCGAATCCTTTAATTGATACGATTGAAATAATCAAGAAATTATATCTTTTATTAATTAGTAATATCTATATATTGTAGAATATCGAAATATTCATCGTTGATACGGGTTTGTATTGAATAATCTAATTAGCAAACTAACTTCCTGTAGAATTTTTTACTTTGTGATGAAATCCAATCACCCATGATGTTTAATCGACAAAGCTTTCTTCCTGAAATAATTATCAATGTACACAACGTGTATCTTTTTTTAGTTCCTGCATAGTGTTTAAAGTGGGGCTCCTTGTTCTTTAGCTACGATCCTGCCGTGACGTCATTCCTCGTAAGAACGATCAATACGCGTTGAGAGCGCCAATACATTCCTCGTTCAATTTTAGATCGCTCAAACAATTGTAAAAGAATTATATACAGTCAAATTATTGTTATTATTCTGACAAATTCGCCTTATATGTTACTATTTTTCACTTGTCATTAAAATTTATGTATTATACTTTCGTTATATGTACCATAGCTTGATAAGCAATATATCGATGTGTATCGATCGAGATAAAATTATAATCGAATGACTTTCAGACTATATATAAAATACTAATATGAAGAAAATAATTAAATGACGAAACGATGAATTAAAATATATTAAAACGTACCGTACATTACACTTATTACCATATTTTTACATTATAACTTATTCCTACTAAATTACGATAAGAGAAATATATAGTTAGCGTTAATTATATCTCAATGTTCGATAATATTATTCTACCATTCGATTTTTCTTTGCAGAGATTATGAATGAAGTTATTAAACAAAAGAGGACCGGAACAAGTGGTGTACAATGGCGCATTTTGGTAGTCGATCAACTAGCCATGAGGATGGTATCGGCATGCTGCAAAATGCACGATATCAGTGCACAAGGCATCACTTTGGTAGAAGATATCAACAAGAAACGGGAGCCTTTGCCTACAATGGAGGCGATCTACTTGATCACACCGTGCAATTCCTCTGTCCAGAAGTTGATCGAAGACTTCAGCAATCCTACTAGAACTATTTACAAAGTAGCTCATGTTTATTTCACAGAAGGTACGTTGCGTTTCGTACCTCTTAAATAACGGCGAATAATGTCATAAGGGAAACAATGATCAATAATCAAAATAATTTAACTCCTATCTTGATCATGTTACTTTACCATAACACATTTTTTATTTTCACATATACATCAAAATTCATTTTCAATTTTGTTTTCCCTTTACAAGATACACGTTTAACAAACAGGAGGTTAGAAAAATATAGTACGACAACGGACAGTCCGGTACTCTCAATTTCAGTAATCTACATGAGATTTTAAGTATATCTCTTTACAGCATGTCCCGATGAGTTGTTCAAAGAATTGTGTCACTCGCTGGTAGCTAAACGCATAAAGACACTAAAAGAGATCAACATCGCTTTCATACCATACGAAGAACAGGTAAAGCAAAGGAAACAGTAACAGAGAAACCAAATGTCTGATAATTTTACGTTTCTCGTGGTGACGGGCACACACTCACCGACATATACATGAGATACATATATCAACGCCCTTTACGTACACCACCTTATTCACACCCTTGTGGTATTTTGAGTCACAAGCCTATCTGTCGATTTTTCAACCAGCGATTATGACAATGTTAACATAATTATTTAACTTTGTCCCCCTGCCCCCTATTTCGTACAATACTCACATATAAAGCACGTACTAACGACGGAATGCATTCATGCTTGCACGCGACCAGTGTGTCCGGAGGAGCTGTTCAATGAACTCTGCAAGTCTCTCGCCGCTAAAAAGATCAAAACCCTGAAAGAGATCAACATCGCTTTCCTGCCTTATGAGTCGCAGGTGATGAATAAAAGAAAACAAAAATCGTAGCTGCTAGTGATAGTTGCAAATCGCGGTAGTTACTATATCCAATTTTCTCAGTTTTCTTCAGTTTCGATAAACAGAATTCCTCCATATGCTTTAATTTATTTTATGGGGTAGAACGTAGGCGAAAGACTTCTATAATTACCTTATATGTATGTTCCTGTTTTTCTCTTTGCATTCAAACTTTTAGTTTTATTTCCAGTGCATGCAATTCTCTGTCCTCTTATTGTTATTTTGTTAATTATTTTTATTTTTCGATGTACATATATATATATATATATGTGTGTGTATATATATGTATATCTATTCCGCTATTAATTACACTGCCTGATATATGAAATTATAATAGCTTAATATGTAACAAATAGTACAAAGATATTGTTAAAACATATACCTAATTTTACATAATTCACAGGTTTTCTCCTTGGATTCACGTGAAACATTCGCTTGTTTTTATAACGCTTCCTTCTCAAATCTGAGGACAGCCAATATGGAAAGAATAGCTGAACAAATTGCGACACTTTGTGCTACTCTTGGAGAATATCCATCAGTCAGATATCGAAAGTATGCTATGACATAAATTTATATTCTACTAAAAAAATTGTTTTTATAACCTAATCGAGTATTAAAATATTTCTTCATTGTTTTATTCGATGATTTATTTTCACAGTGATTTTGATCGAAACGTGGAGCTGGCACATATGGTACAACAAAAATTAGATGCTTACAAAGCAGATGAGCCGACAATGGGTGAAGGACCCGAAAAAGCACGTTCTCAGTTGCTTATATTAGACAGAGGATTTGATTGCGTTTCACCATTATTACACGAATTAACGCTACAAGCTATGGCGTATGATTTGTTAGACATTGATAATGATGTTTATAGGTAAGTGCATGATTATTATAATTCATTTCAAATATTTTAACATTATAAATTTTGTATAAGATTCGAAGCGTCAGCAGGCGTTCAAAAGGAAGTATTATTAGATGAAAATGATGATCTATGGGTAGAACTTAGACATCAGCATATTGCTGTAGTTTCACAGTGAGTAAAATAACTTAAAATGTATGGCAGAACGAACTACAGTTATATTTACAAAATATATATTATTTGCTTCTAGAAATGTTACCAAGAATTTAAAGAAATTTACAGAATCAAAAAGAATGCCACAAGGAGACAAACAGAGCATGAGGGACCTGTCACAAATGATTAAGAAAATGCCACAGTACCAAAAGGAATTAAGTAAATATGCAACACACTTACAACTGGCAGAAGATTGCATGAAACGTTATCAAGGAAATGTAGATAAACTGTGCAAAGTAGAACAAGTATGTCCCATGCAATCCATTTTATTTTTTTTATTTTTATTATATTAACTTAATCACTAAATATGACCTATATTTTATTAGGATTTAGCAATGGGTACAGACCCTGAAGGTGAACGTATCAAAGATCAAATGAAGAATATTACACCAATTTTACTTGATCAAAATGTAGATCACTTAGATAAATTACGAATTATCGCCTTGTATGTTATTGGTAAAAATGGTATTTCTGAAGAAAATCTTAACCGTCTAGTTCATCATGCCCAAATATCTGCTGATGACAAACAAACTATAGTAAACATGGCAAACCTTGGTATTAATATAGTTGTAGATGTAAGCATTTTCTTTTGCTAATATATAGTTACATTCATATTTTTGTTTTAGTACTATACTAATTTATTTTTAAATATTTATAGGGTGGTAACCGCAGAAAATTGTATACTGTACAACGTAAGGAAAGAATTACAGAACAAACTTATCAGATGAGTCGTTGGACTCCAGTTATGAAAGATATTATGGAAGATGCTATTGAAGATAAACTTGATTCCAAACATTTCCCTTTTTTGGCTGGACGAGCAGCAAGTTCGGGATATCATGCGCCAACTAGGTATAAAGGATATTATATATAAATACTATTTTAGGTCAATACCTTTCTTATAATATATTACATTTCACTTTTAGTGCAAGATATGGACATTGGCATAAGGATAAAGGATCACAAACTATTAAAAACGTACCACGATTAATCGTTTTTGTCGTTGGCGGTGTTTGCTTCTCTGAGATACGATGCGCTTACGAAGTTACAAATGCTTTGAAAAATTGGGAAGTCATAATTGGTGAGTATATGTTAAGAATTGACGTTTAATCGAGTTTGTTCTGATATTAATTTATTATTTTATTTCAGGTTCGTCACACATAATCACACCAAAATCTTTCTTAGATGACTTGAGTAAACTTCACGTATAAGAAATTTTTGTGTTGTAAACAAAATAAAGACACATTCCCGCATTCCTAATATGCCATTAGCTTTGGCTCCGTCAATAATATCAGCTATGAAATTCCATGGATGATTTCGAATATACAATTAAAGTATAAACTAAGGAACACAAAGTCAATTTAAGTCGCGTAGTTAGTTAGCGACTAATTAAAAATATTGGTGAATGCCATATCATTTGGCCAGAGTATAAATGGCGCCAGAAGGAAAAGATAACCGATATTAAGTGCCTGCGCGAATTAAAAATTAATATGGAATGAACATACATGTTGGCAATACTGATGCAAATCGTACGGAGGTGCTTAATGGTAATTTAGGCTCGCGAATGATCTAGCTCAGATATCGTACGTTATTCTATGTCATATTATCTCTTTGTTAATAATAAGCGACACGTTTAGCAGAGACATTTGATGTATTGTAGTGGAGAATCGTGATATTCGTGTACATTTCTCGTTATTAATATTTCGTTATCTCCCGCTCCAAAAATTATCGATTGTTATACTATGATAAAGAAAATTTAATCCTCGATTTCGCTTACGAAATCGGTATTACTTTATCGATTCACGTGAGAACTGAGTATCGTATAGAATATGGTTATATGTGCTTTAGTCATATTAATTTCAAGAAAACATAATTTAGCAGAGATATAAGATAAAATTGATATTTATTTTATAAATGATTAAAACTATTTAAATATCTTTAAAGATACAAACGTTTAAGTATCTTATTGTACAATAAAGCGATAGATGTACATTTAGTTATTTATTGTACTTTTGTTATATTATTAATTTGTTGCTAGACAAATGCATTTGAATAGCGTGCATATGTATTAAATTATATATAGTACAAATGCCGCTTCTAGTTTATCATAAAGCGCGCATTTATATCAATCTGAGAACTGTCCGAATACAAAAGACTTATATCTGTTTAATTCGAAGTAAAATCTTTACCTATTGATAAGTACTTACATGTTGAAACTTCTGCTGCATATACAAAGCAATTGTATATCGCTTTGCTGATTGGTGGAAGTTAGTCTGTTAATGATCACAATGATTATTGATATGCGTTAATATTGCGATTACTTAGCGGCGAGATTATTACAAAGTTTACGGTATTGATTATTATATAATATATTATATGAATACATATATGTATGTAGATTGTAGTTTAAACAAAATGTTCTGCTTATAAAGGCCTACAATTCGCTCCAATTTTGTTTCTTTTTTTATGTATATACCATACCAAATTAAGTACAGATAAGAATTTAACAAATAAGTTGTCAGTTGAGATTCGCGTTAAAGTTTATTCCATATTATTGTATACCACTACTATGACAGTCGATCATGGGTTATCGTTCGCCACGGATCACAACACAGAGTTGTCTATATAATGAAAAACAGCTGCTCTTTCAAAACATTGATGCAGTCATATTGTTTTCAAACCCTTATTGCATCAGAACTGTAAATTATGTCCAAAACTGCAAAGAAAGTTATCTTAGCTTATAGTGGTGGTTTAGATACATCCTGTATACTATTATGGTTAAAGGAAAAAGGATATCAAATAATCGCTTATATGGTAAGGCTACTAAATAACACGCTTACTTTTTAAAGAGACAGATACTATATAAGGACCGAAATATAGGCAAACATTGGACAACAGGAAGATTTCGATGCCGCTAGAGAAAAGGCGTTACGAATCGGTGCTGTCAAGGTAATAATAAAATCGAAATTAATTTACAACCATTTCTTTTTAATCATCTATCGATACTATTGCAAGCAATACATTACTACTAGTCGTAACTAGCTGTTATCAAATGTACTGTTTTACTAACTGTTCTATTTAATTATGAAACATTGGATTATCTACAAGGTGGTAATAGAAGATCTTAGAGAAGATTTCCTATCTTCATTTGTATGGCCAGCTATTGCATGCGGACTGATTTACGAAAATAGGTACTTACTAGGCACAGCAATCGCTCGGCCATGCATCAGTGAAGGTCTGATAAGAATTGCAAAGATTGAAAATGCCTCGATAATCGCTCATGGTGCCACAGGGAAAGGTAATGATCAAGTTCGTTTCGAGTTGAGTTGTTACAGCCTTTATCCTGACATTCAGGTACTGTACTTCAATTTTACGTTCTTCTTACACATCATTCGATCAGTTCATGTTCTATCCTTTCGCGTGATTATCTAGATTCTTGCACCTTGGAGGGAGAATGAATTTTACACACGATTCAGAGGAAGATCAGATTTGATAAAATATGCACAACAAAATAAGATCCCTGTTTCAGCGACACCAGAGAAACCATGGAGCACTGACGCGAATCTGTTGCATATTAGGTACAGCTGAAATTATTTTAATTAATCGAAACTCACGATAAAGAGAAATTGAGATATACATATATTTGTAGTTATGAATCGGGTATCCTAGAAAATCCTGCCACAGTGGCACCGAAAGAAATATATAAAATGACCAACGATCCATCAGATTCTCTGGCGGAACCGGATGAAATCGAAATTAATTTTGAACAAGGCTACCCATCATCTGTTAAAAACTTGAAGAATAAGGAGACGTTTGTCACTCCACTCAAGATAATGCAATATTTAAATGACATTGGTAGTCTTCATGGCGTTGGACGCATCGACATTGTGGAAAATCGTTTTATTGGTTTAAAGGTAGGTAAGATGGGATTCGATTGCAAGTACTTTTTAATTCTTATGTGACGTAATTAAAATTTCAGTCTAGAGGAATTTACGAATCACCAGGATCCAAGATTCTGCACGAAGCACATCAAGATTTGGAAATATATCTCTTAGATCGTGAGGTTTTAAGATTGAAATCTTATTTGAGCAACAAAATGTCCGATTACGTTTACAATGGTAAAGAACGATACTGTAATTTTGCAAAATGTGGATACATGTTTAGATACAGGTAGAAAATGTATTCTAGGTTTCTGGTTCTCCCCGGAATGTGATTTCGTAAGGAATAGTATATTATATTCACAAAAATACGTAACTGGATCGGTCCGATTGCAATTGTTCAAAGGAAATGGTTAGTATCGACGAAGTAAATTTTAGGCGAATACTTATTACTTTAATGTTACAGTATCTATACTTAGCCGACACAGCAGAACTTCTTTGTACAACGAGAAGCTAGTGTCGATGGATGTGCAAGGTGGTTTCAATCCTGAAGATGTGGATGGTTTCATTCGCACACAGGCTTACAGATTGAAAGAATTTAATCGTTTCAAAAGACAGTTTGACGTTGAAGTTGATACAATAACGCATATTAAAATACATTGAAATGTGTAAAGTGTAATAAAAATAATATACGATATTTACATTCAAGTATTTTACGTGTGATTATTGAGAAGAGGGAAGAAATGGAATTATGCATAAGATACTGGATTTGGTTATTAAATACCGATATTAAGATGTTTTTTTTTTTATTTTAGTTCAATTAAATATTATTGCAAAGTTTACACACGAGTTATTCCAAGAGGATGAGGTGGTAATGAAAAACTACCAGCACAATTACTTTCAATTAGTTATTAATAATTAAACCTTAGGGTAATTAGTATATTTGTAAAGATTATAATAACGTATAATATGCATCGTTTTATCTGTATTAATAGTATACACAATATTTCTTATTCGTTCTAATAGATCCGCAACATAAGAGAAAACGTCAAACATGAGACAATAATATTTCAGTTAGTATCTCTTCTATCGATGACTATGTAACACTCTTT